GGCTTTAGCCTTTAAAGCCCTAAACGGTTCTGGCCCGGCCTATCTGTCTGAACGTATCACCCCCTATGAACCAGTTAGGACATTAAGATCGTCCGGGGAGGCCCTGCTCTCGATCCTGCCAGCCTCACAAGCACGGCTGTTGGGGACGAGAGACAGGGCCTTCTCAGTGGTGGCCCCTCGGCTGTGGAACGCCCTTCCCGCAGACATTAGATCGGCCCCCTTCCTGCTGGAGTTCAGGAGAAGAGTGAAGACCTGGCTCTTTGAACAGGCGTTTAATTAAGCAGTGCAACCAATTGATTGATCTTGGAACTTGGAATAATGGACGAGGAGATCGGATTATGACTTTACTGATGAGACGTGATGGATTAGTTATGTGGATGTTTTGATGTTATATTGATGTACTGATGTATTGTTATATTGATGTAGTTGCCTTAGTTACTGTTTTAAATGCTAATGTTGTGCACTTTGTATATTGACCTGGCTGTAAACCGCACGGAGTCGCCTACGGGCTGAGAGACTGCGGTATACAAGTAAAGTAAATAAATAAATAAGTATTCCTGCTTCTTGGCAGAAAGAGGTTGGACTGGATGGCCCATGAGGTCTCTTCCAACTCCTATTCTCTGATTCTTCTTTTCTTATCCCTCCCTCCTCTCAATGTATTTCACTCATTTTAATCTCTTTAAATCCTTTGAGCCTTTTGAACACAACCCTCTTATTACCCTTATTGCTTCTTATTGTCACTCAATCTCTCGTAAGGATAAAATGAGGAAAAATTATGTTGTTTAGTAAGAGAACTTCTCTGTGGAGAACTTACGTACTCCGCTGGTTTTCTTCCCAGTCTTTGGTGATCTTATTTAACGCAAGATGAACGGGGCTGGCAGTTATTGCAGCTTCCGCTGCTTCCCGGAGCTTGATTCGGACCCTCTCACCCCCCTTCCTTGTGGGAAAGCGTAGGCACTGGGGTCGTCAAAGTTAGCCTGCAGATTTTGCGTCTCCCCCCAACTCACTCCATGGGGCTGATCACCCCTCCAAATGGATGCTCCCTGGGTGGCTTGCTTAAAACCCCTCAGCAAGTCCTGCCCGTCACCATCACCGCTCGCCGGAAGTCCAATGTCTGAATCATTGTTATTTAGATCCTCTTTCCATATTTCTACCAATCTTTGTTTCAAATTCTATTGGGTTCCATTCTTCTATGTGAACCCCATCAGGCCTTTCTCCTTTTCTAATTTCCACTTTAAAATTTGATCAAAATCTGCTTCTGGGTTTTCCTTTTTCCTCCACTTCATGATGGAATCACAGAATCCTAGAGGGCCATCATCCAGTCCAACCCCATTCTGCCAAGAAGCAGGAATATTGAATCAAGGGGTTTCTCCAACCTAAAGTTGGTTGCATTGATTATTTATGACTTTCATTAAAACAGTTTGATTGGTACATAGAATCATAGAATCATAGAATCAAAGAGTTGGAAGAGACCTCATGGGCCATCCAGTCCAACCCCCTTCTGCCAAGAAGCAGGAATGTTGCATTCAAATCACCCCTGACAGATGGCCATCCAGCCTCTGTTTAAAAGCCTCCAAAGAAGGAGCCTCCACCACACTCCAGGGCAGAGAGTTCCACTGCTGAACAACTCTCACAGTCAGGACGTTCTTCCTCATGTTCAGGTGGAATCTCCTTTCTTGTAGTTTGAAGCCATGTCTCCATTGCGTCCTAGTCTCCAGGGCAGCAGAAAGGAAGCCTGCTCCCTCCTCCCTAGGACTTCCTGTGATTTTCCTGCTTCTTGGCAGGATGGGGTTGGACAGGATGGCGCACGAGGTCTCTTCCAACTCTAGGATTCTATGATCAAAACCAAGGACGCTCTCCTGACCCTAAACCGGTGTCTGTCATCAGTAATGAACTAGATGAGGCCAAACTTTATTCAGACAAGACTCCTGGTCAATGGGAAGGCAGATCAGGGAATGGGGTGGGCTACTTTCTCCCTGAAGATACAGGTCCACAGTTTGGGGGTTCTCCTGGACTCAGCGTTGAACCTGGAGGCCCAGGTGTCACTGGTGGCCAGTAGAGCCTTTGCACAACTAAAACTTGTGTGTCATCTGCACCCATTCCTTGAGAAGCCAGCTCTGGCCACAGTTACCTGCCATCTGGATTACTGCAATGCGCTCTATTGTTGGGGTTCAGCCTGAGTTTGAACTTGAACCTGATTCTCTGTTTGTTCCTCCTGATGCTAATGAA